TTTGGAGGCTTTAAGTCCAAGTTCAAAATGCCAGGCTCTAGGGGCTAGATGAAAGCCCCTCAATCTTAGGGTCCAGCTTTGCCTCCTGCTCCCAGCCCACTGGAGCTAGAGGCATTTCTTCACTCAGACAGCTGCTGGCTGCTGAGGCTAAGAAGCCCAAAGGTTGATAAGTAAAATGGCACAGTCCTGATGTTACCAAACCACATGGCAGGGCATTAACTTAAGTCCATTGTATGTCCCAAGGTCAGCAGAGCATAGCAGGCTGCTGAGCAACAACACGGCTGCATGCAGGATCCAAGAGTGCCGTAGGCTAGAGACCATTCCCAAGGCTTCTCCTTATATACAGGAAGCAGCCCACATCCCAAAGGCAGCTACTCAGCTGCTTGTGGTAGATCCCACCATGGAGTTGATTGCCAGTCTCATCATGGGGAATAACTACCACCAGCTACCCAGCCGCTCAACCAGACCCAGCCAAGCTGACACACCAACATAACTACCACAGAAACTCTTGGACAGTTCTACTCTGTCCTATAAGGTTGCAATAACGAGCTCTGGTGGTGTAGTGGTTAAAGCACTTGGCTGCTAACTGAAAGGCCCATGGTTCAAAACCACCAGCTGCTCTGTGGAAGAAAGATGAGGCAGTCTGCTTCCATAAAGATTTATACCCTTGGAAATCCAGTGGGCGTTGCTATGAGTCAGAATTGACTGGATGGAAGTGAATTGGTTTGGGGGTTTTTAAAATTTTGTTTTGCTTTGTTTTGTTTTGAGGGTTGCAGTGAGTTGGAATCAACTTGGTGCCAGTGGGTTTTATATCAGAAGGCCTTACCTTGTACCAAGTATTACTTTAAAGTTGAAAGGGCTGTTTCATCCCTTTGGACTGCCCCAAAACCATGTTGACCACTTCAGGTTCTCCCTCACGCTTGGTGACTAATTCTAGGAGGCCTGGGTTCCAGCTATTTCTGACCCACCACTCTCCCCTTGTCAGTCACCACTAAAGACTCTATTCTCCCTGTGGCAGCCCCATGTTCTCCTCGTGGCTGTAGGAGGTACTGCAAGGCCCTCCCTGCAGAGCTGAAACAAAGAAGATGAGCACAAAACAAAAGGTACAATTTAAGGACAAGATGTGATCAGTGACACAGGAATGCAGAGCAAAGAAGTAGTCTTTCTCCCAATCAGACAGGTTTGACCAAGTGTGTTTCTCCAGCCTGTTTTGGACCAGATGTCTTTAATTTATTCATCAAGTACTTGTGGCTGAGCCCTAAGCAGGGAACAATGACCAAAGCAGCGGGGTTGGTGCTCTCAGTAAACTTTCTTTCTCGGAGTCACTTAGGCTGGCACAGTGCTTCAAGTCCTTCATTTACTTCCGGTGCCCCAGCAGGGTTGTCAGCTGCAGGATCCAATGGTGGTGGGGCCTCATTGCTTTGAGCATGCTGTACTGGCTTGGTGGGACTTTGACTCAGAGACTCTAACTGCATTTGTCCCCAGGGCTCCTGAGACTGTGACAAGCCTGGGCTCAGCCTGTACCACAAACCTCTCTGTTTCCTTGGTACACTAATAGAGTTGCATTTTCCTGCTTCCCTCTTTGGGCATCTTTGTAACACAGAGCAGCTGGTATATATATATATATATATATATATATATATATATATATATAGCTCCACCCACAAAACTTCACAAACACTTCAACACAACTGTCGCCCCTAACGCCCACTTCAGATTACTTACATGGCCAAGGAAGCTCTTTACCTGCTCCTTGCCCCTATTTCCTGCCCCCTCCCTGACCCTTGGGGAGTGTCACCTCTCTTTGAACAACCTCTGCACTCCCACCTCCTTATCCTTATCTTTTTCTGTCACCAAAATACCTTTGACTGCTTCAAGTGTGGTAAGTATGGTATTCAGATACAGGCTGGGCAAAGATTATTTCTTAGATATGAAGAAACTGAGGCATGATAGATAAGCTAGCTATTTCTTGTCAGGACTGAAACCTAAGTTTTATCTCTGTCAGCCTACCATTTTTCATACCAGGAGAAAAGCAAATTATCTCCCCCTAAACCACTCTTCCGTCATCCCTGATCCTGTCCATCAACATAGTGTTAAAGAATAAAACACTTATTAAAATAAGTGTTAAATATTAAAATAAGGCTTGAGAAAGCTTTAGGGAAACAAGAATCAAGTTTTATTTCCACAGTGAAACTCAAGACGCAGGAAGCTGCACCCAAACAATGGTCACAGTGACTGCAGGTCACAAAATGGAGGAGCTGAAGAGAGGGGCTGGTTTATCTGACGAGACTGATGGCCAAAAAGACACCACAGTGGGGTGGGAACAAACAAGGAACATGCAAACCAGGTCCCCAGCCTAGAGAAAGGAGGTGCCTGCACCCAGGCTGTGGCTGGCACAGGGCGGGAGAGCTGAGGTGAGTGCGGCCATCATCAGGTTACCTGACAACCGATGTTTTTCAGGGCCTCAGTGGTGATTGGAAGAAATTTTCTAGAAGAAAGGGGAAGATCAAATGATAGAAATTTTCTAGAAGAAAGGAGAAGATCAAATGGCCACTCACTCCTAAGTCTGTGGTAAAACTAGGATCCTTTCTTTCAGCTTCAGCAGAAAACTAGGATCCTTTCTTTCAGCCCTCTCCTTAACCACTCTCTTCTCATCGGGTCCCTGAGTGCTTCTGCCTCCATTCAGTCCTTCACTGGCACTCACTCAAAGGGGTGCTTCCTGGGTAGCCTAGGGCATTTGTCTCCTTCTAATCAGGGCCGACTCGATGGCACATAACAACAACAACAACAACACCCCCTAATGGGGTCTCCTGCTCCTTGATATCTTTGGGGCATCCATCCAGATCAAACTTGGCTTAGAGTCTGCCACTGAGATCTGAGAAAATGCCAGGACCCCAGCTGTGCCCCTGAGGAGTGACTCACCTTCTGCTTCCCACGGGCTCCCACTAACACCCCCCTACCAAAACCTCATCCACTGCAGCAGGCCAGGATGCACCTGGGAGGCCTGCAGGACAAGGAGAATGTCCCCTCTACACTCTGGCCTCAGGCCCCTTCTCTCATGAGCTAGATCTTCTCAGTCCCCATACTCACCACTCACAGGAAGTAGGTGTGGCCTGTCCCTGTAAACAGAAAATCAGAGGATTTGACTCTTTGCTCAGCGTGTCCTCTGGGCTCAGGAGGAGCCCAGGGGCTGGGGCAGGAGCAGGCTCTAACCAGGATCCCTCAGTCTGGCTGTGGACATTACGCCCATGGAATTTTTTCCACAGCAGATTAACCACTCTAAGTACATTTTATCCAACATAGTATTCAATATGGTCCCTGTGCACATACTGACCAGGAGGAGTGAAAATGGGATGGGTAGGTATGTATTCCTAGCTTGCTAGGTAGATAAAATACCCACAAGTGGTGTGGACTGCTTCTCCACCTATTTTCAGTCAGCAGAGTTTCTGATCTCTCAGTAGAAAGGTCCTCTCCTCGGGGCAGAGGGCTGCATTGTTACACGAAATGAAGGATAATACACAGCCTGTTTTTCCTTTGCCAGCCTAATTAGTATTTAGTGGCACAGTGCCTAAGGCATTTGGCCCCACCAGCTCTACTTCCATAAAAATTTACCTCCTCAGAAATTCAAAGGGGGTCACCATGAGTCAGAATCTATTCGATGGCAATGAGTTTGGTTCTGATTTTTTATATTCATGTACAGGAGCTCTGGTGGTGCAGTGATGAAAGCATTTGGCTGCTAACCAAAAAAGTGCCATGGTTTGAACCCACCAGCCTACTCCACAGCGGGGAGAAAGGTGAGGCAGTCTACTTCCGTAAAGATTACAGCCTTGGAAATCCTATGGGGCAGTTTTACTCTGACCTGTAGGGGAGCTGTGAGTTGAACTTGACTCTGTGACAGTGGGTTTGGTTTGGGCTTTGCTTCCGTAAAGATTTACAGCCTTAGAGAGCCTTTGAGGTGGTCCCACTCTGTCCTGTAGGAGCGCTGGGAGTCGGAGTCATCTAGATGCCAGTGGGTTTTGGTGCATATTCATTTAGGGAATATATAAGATTTCTTTCTTAGCAACTGAATACAGCAAAATTCTCAAATATGATTTTCCTTTCATTTTATTTATGGAATGAAGCATTCATTTTCCCATAAACCAGGAGTTCCAGGGCTAGCTCCTCCTGGATGCTAGTCTTCCCCACCCCCTTCCAGAAGTCAGCAGTTAAAAAAGAGACAGGGACGACTTTCGTTTTATTTATGGGATGAAGCATTCATTTTCCCACAAACCAGAAGTTCCAGGACTAGCTCCTCCTGGATGCTAGTCTTCCCCACTCCCTTCCAGAAGTCAGCAGTTTAAAAAGAGGCAGGGATGAGACACTTGGAAAAAGGCTGTTTCTTTCTTTCACTCCTCATTGTGCGGTGATTTGGGGCTTTGCGTTCTTCTTTGAGGGGATATTGGTTCCCAGTGCTCTTCACTGCATATGAAATAGATGCTGGTGTGAAGAGAACTGAACCCTCTACCCTCCCCTTCCAAACTCTCCCTGGAAACCTGCGTCTCCGTTGCAAAGGATGGGGAGACAGGACTTTTACAGTGAACAGGATTGAGCTTCGGAGAACCCAGTAGCAAAACACAGCAGTTGCCAGTCTTACCTCAGCAGGGATCTTGCCACCAGAGGCAGTAGGGTATGACTACTGGTTATGATTGTTCTGTGGAAGAAAGCAAGGGCGGGAGGCATGAGACGAGAAGAGGTGAAGGCATTTTGCTCTGGAGTGCAGAATCCACCTCACTGTCTTGGCTGGACCTTTCTTAAAGCCCCTGCCTTCTCCTCTCCGTATGTCAAGTGCTGTCTTTTATGGCATCTCGTCCAGTCAGAGATGCAGAGCCCACACCCTTGCCTAACTTGCTTGTCTTAGCCCAAATAACCCTCCCTCCTACTTCTCTTGGCACCTGTACCAACTCCTCAAGTGTTACTTTGGGAGGGGAGGCTAGAAGATGAAGAAAGAAGTGAAGTCTACGTCAGGTGGCCGGGTGATGCATATATCCTGCCTTAGACATTACAGCTGCCACCTCTTGCCACCCTGGGCCAGACTGAAAAAACTGGAATGGGGGAGGGAAAGAGAGAGACTCACTTGATCAGCACCACCCGACCTCTTCTGTGGTGATGTCGTGTCTGCACCCTGAGAAGGACAAAGAAGCCATAGCTGAATGTCCCCATGGTCATTCAGGCCTTGCAAACGCCTGGAGCTCCAGCCTCCTGCTCTCCAGGCTCTGCCCTCTTTCTGGAACACCAGCCAGCATCCCTCCCACCTCACCCCTCTCAGAGGTCCATGACAGAGGCTGGCTGCAGAGGTGGTGGAAAGCCTGAAGGACCAGTGACCCAGATAAATGTAGGACACAGATTGCCACACTCAGGGTGGGAGAGCAAGGGTAGAGAACAGATTTGGCAACACTGCCCCCACCGATGCACCTGGCACGTTGGCAGCCCTAGACTGAGACTGAGCTAGAACAACGAGTGGTATCCCACAGATTCCCTGGGGTGGGTCCAGGCACCAAGTTCCAGCCCACCTTTACCCTACACCAAATCCTTACAGGCCCTTTAATCCTTGTGTGCAAATGCTATATTCTCCAGAGTCTTTGGAAGGATGGACTGTTTCCTACAGAAGCTAAACTTACTAGATTAGCCCTGAGTCAAGGGAGGGAAAGAAAGAGGAAAAAATCAAGGAGTGCAGATGAAGCCACTGCAGACTCTCCAAAGATTCACTTGGCACCCTTCCTGTCCCCCCATCTTCTCCCCACCCCACCCCCACCAGATCAAGGCAAGGAGGGAATTCTGAGCAGTAAGAGAGAGGTCGTTTTGTCACTGCCATCATCACTTCTCAACTAAGACCGCACACATGTATACACACATGCACACACGTACACACACATGCACATATGCACACACACATATGCACACAAGTACACACACATATGCACACATGCACACACGCACACACATGTACACACTTAGTCTGAGGGTGTTCTTCCTAACTCTGACATTAAGCCCCTGCCTTATCCCCTCCTAACCCCTTCTTCATATCTTAGCCCCATTATTATCCCTTACACTAAGGTCACATAGTGGTTATCCACGGCCTCCAGATAGTTTTTGCTCAGTCTGCAATTATTTTTAATGAAATTTCTTGTTGACAACTAAAAATCAGGTGGCATGGCTACACTGCTCTGACACGCATGAGTGACAGCACTCAGCTGGAGAGCCTTGACCTTCCCCTTGGCCTGGCCCCACCAGCCCAGCCTCACGTGCCTGGCACACATGGGTGTGTGAGTGGGCAACTCTTGCCTCAGTGTCCAAAGGTGCTAATTTCCAAAGGCCGCCGTGCAGAATCCAGGCATGGTCTTCTTCAGAACCCAGGCATCCCACCCATCCCTTCCAGGACTCAGATATTCAATACCCCTGCACCCACCTGCACTTGACCGTGACTTGATTGCCACCTATTATATAGTGACTGCCCTCCTGTTTCCCTTTAGTGTGGGAGAAGTGACCTCAATTCCAGGTCCCTCTCCTTCCTCTCTCCTTCTTTTTGGTCCCCCTCGCCCTGCTGCCTTGCATTAGCCACCCAGTAGTGTCCCGTGCCAGCCAGGCCAAGCCCAGTAGGAATAGCAGCAGACCCCAGCCATGGCTGGCTTCATGTTCTGTGCCCATGGAGGCCCCAACCTTCAGGCACTCTGCCTTTATCCTAGGGAAGACCTCCCACCCTACTCCTCCTTCATGACTCAGCCACGTCCTCTCTCTCCCCCACCTCACCTCCACTTACAGCTGCATAAAGAGAAGAAACTGAGAAGGGAAGGAGGCACCTCAGCAGGAAGGGTAAAAAGCTGGGACAGAATCAGTAAGCTGCTCCCAAGGGCCCAGCATCCTGAGTCCACAGTGAAGTGAAGTCTAAGCTTCTCCCCCCCCCCCCCACTTACCTCAATAATTGCTTTCCAGTTGAGAAAAGGAGTGTTGTGTTTGAAATCCTAGAAGAAGAAGAGACAACAGTGGCCCACAGGGGGCCAGAATTCAGAGGGTGGTAAGGGACACGGAGGCAAGTCTCAAGATCAGTGTAGGAATGGGGTGACCTAAGCCTGGGTGTGGCTTAGGGTTAAATGAAGACAAGCATACCAGAGACCAGGGTGTTAGAGTTTAAGATGGTTTTGACGATATGATTTAGGTGAAGTTACTAGTCTCAGAAATGAAAATGGGGGATTTTTTAACTGAAGGTAGCTGTCTTGAGGGAGGTGTGGAGAGGGACAAGGTGACCAGAATTCCAAGTTGTTAGAAAAGTCTCCTACCTCCCAGAGACGGGTGAAGTAGAGGAGGGCTCGAGTGCTGGGACGTGGGACTTGGTTCTGTGGATGAAAAGTGAGGAGGAGGTTAGCAAGGGGCCTATTTCCTGCTCACCTAAACCCCCCACTCCATTTCTCAGCTTTCAGAATTTTATTGTGACTGAAGTTCGGGGAAAGCTGGGTATCTACAGGGATACTGGAACTCCTTTTGAAAACAGAGAGAGAGACTAGATCTCTGGAGCCATTAGCCCCTCTCCCTAAACACATACAAGGAGCTCTGGTGGCTCAGTACCTAAGGCATTTGACTGCTAACCAGGAGGTCAGTGGTTCAAACCCAACAGCCGCTCTGCAGAAGGAAGATGTTGTTGTTATGTGCCATGGAGTCGGACCCGACTCATAGCAACCCCTCCTTGGATTTACGAGGCAGTATCACTACGGAAGTAGATTGCCCCATCTTCCTTCCGAGGAGTGAGTGTCTGGTGGGTTTGAACCACCAGCCTTCTGGTTATCAGTCAAGTGCCTTAGGCACTATGCTACCAGAGCTCCCTCAGAAGGAAGATAGGGCAATCTATTTCCATAAAGATTTGCCACCTTGGAAACCCAGTGGGATTTTCTATGGGTCGCAATTGACTCAATGGCAGTGGGTTTGGTTTTTGGTTTTCTAACACATACACAGTGTCCTTTTCCATGCCCATTTTCCCCAGCCTCTGGCAAAACATAATTTCAGCAAAATCCCAAGACTAGGCCTTGCCCCCAGAACTTCCTGCCTTTTCCCCTCAACCCCATTTCCCAAAGTTGTGGGGCTGAAGTCACGCCTTCCACAGGCCTCCAGACATTATTTTTGCTTAGTCTGTGTTTTCTGGGGGGAAAAAAAATGAAATTACTTGCTAACAATTAAAAATGAGATTTCTAGCTTTCTTGAAAAATCAGATGACACGGCCACGCAAGTCTGACATGCGACCCGACAACGCTCAGCTGGAGAGCCTTGACCTCCCCCTTGGCCCGGCTCCACCTATTCAGACTCAAGCCCAACCCCTCCACAACTGTGGAGACATAAGTAAGGACCAGAGACTGGGGATGTGGGGAAGCTAAGGTGTATTTCAAGTGCATGGGTTGAGATTAGTGGTAAGATAATGTTTTAGAAAAAGGGTGGTAGTAGGGCTCCCATAAGTTCTAAGAGGAAGCTCTCAGAATCGGAATTCAGGACCTTAGTGGACCTAAGCAAGGCTAGAATAGACCCAGCTCCAGAAATCTCCAGGCATCGTTTTGCCCACTGCTGTCATCCAATCAAATCCATATATCCCAGCTCAGCCTTGAGAATCCCCCAATCTCACAAGTAATGGTATTTATCATTCCTGTCTCCTCACTCCTCACTAGGACTATTGTCCTCAGCTCTCTCATCCCCTCATCTTCTCATGAAGGAGAATGGGGTCCTCCATTCTTTCCTCTGCCCGTCTCCACCCTAGAAGCTCCACTGGACAAACGGATGCTGCCTAACTATGATCTCTCCCTTTACTGCATCTTGAGATGCACAGAAACGTTTGCCTGTTTCACTGTTTGCGCTGGCCCTCTGAGAGGTGTCTGTGTGTGCCCTGGTTCCGCCATGCTCAGAGACCTGCTAGCCCCATGGTCCATAACAAGGAGAAAGTCCCCACCAGAGACTGAATGTTCTCTATTAGGTTCATTCAACCAGAAGGCCACTGTAGCTGGCAACTGTGGCACTCTTCTCTTTTACTTCCCCACCCCACTCCCAAAAGGGGTTATTTTCTTGAGCTTAGGGCTGTCCCTTTTCCTCCCTGCACCCTACCACCACCGTTCCTCCATAAAGAACACAAATGTTGTGAGGGCAGCGTTCCTAATCTTCATTCCTTTACAGTAAGGGTCAGGAATTCAATGGTTCACAGGGACCAGTTGGGTGGCTGAAATGACTGTAATGGGCAGGGGGAGTCTGGTTGTGGGTGAGCAAGTGCCTCATTGCAAGGGACAGCTGCCACTCAGCTCTACCTCATTACTACCCTGTGGAAAGGAGGCCCAGCGTTGCCAAAATTTCAAGAGAAACCAGAAGTATAAATCATTCTGTGTGGTCTCTTAATGTCTAAACTCTGGCAACTAATTCATATTCTTAAAAAAAAAAAGTTGATCAGACGAAACACATCATTGGGCCACCAATTGCAGCTTCTGCCTTTGGTATTTGTTTGGGTCATTCATCTGCCCTTCACCTCTACTCCAGACGTGCATCTGCTATTCTGATGTCCAATGGTAGCCTGGCCAGGGGTTCCCCTGCGAGAGGGATGGGTGGGCAGGGAGGAAGGAAAGAAGGGGTCCTGAGCCCCAAGTGTCTCCTGAGAGTATGTATATACAGGGCCTGACACCCATCAAGCACTCGTGGGTATTCATTTCCTTCTCTCATCTCCCTTTCAGTGTGAGTATCAGTCGTCATGTAGCCTGTTAGCTCTGTCTGACTCCTCATCTACCCTGCGCCCACCCTACCTCTCTGCTACTCTGTGGCTTCCTGAGAATTAGACCTACTTACTCTCCTCTTAGGAGCTCTGGTAGCATAGTGCTTAAGGCACTTGACTGCTAACCAGAAGGCTGGCGGTTCAAACCCACCAGCCACTCCCTGGAAGGAAGGCTAGGCAATCTACTTCTGTGATGATACCACCTCGGAAACCCAAGGAGGGGTTGCTGTGAGTCAGGTCTGACTTGATGGCACATAACAACAACAACAACTCTCCCTTTAGCCTTCCAGGTCCCAAAGGGAAAATTAAGATTCAGAACCTTGCTCAGTTCTGTGTGTTAAGATGTTAAAGAGGCCCATCCTCACCTTTTGTTCACAACTGTCTCAAATTCTCCCCCTCTTCTAAAGTCTCTACTGTAATTGCCCCCCCCCTTTTTTTTTTTTTTTTTTTTTGGAGCACTCACCTAAACACTTTCTTTGTTTCCCTGGATCAACAAACAGAAATTTAGCTTTCTTCTCTAGATCCCTCTCCCACAAAGATTGGGATAGCATGACTTCCCAGTCCTTACCTTGCTTATGGCATCCCAGTTAATGAAAACCAGCTTGGATTTCAGATTCTGCGGAGAAAGAAAGAAAAAGGGGGATGGCCAAATTGGGCCATAATGTAAGTGGCTCTTGGCCTCAGGACAAGAGACGTCAAGGGCCACCTTTGGCTCTTTGTATAGAATGATGACTTCAGTCTCTGGGGGCAAGGGTGAAGATTGGTTTTCCAAAAGAGAATGAACAGAACAATCTTTCAGAACTCACCTTCCAGAAAGTGTCAAAGTCGAAGGGCCCAGGATATGTCTGAGAGTTCTAAGGAACCAGATGAGAAATGGTGTGAGAGTAGGAACCCGCTTTGTGAGAAAGAGGCAGAGGCAGGAGACCCAGGTTTCAAGGGGGAGGGCAAAGCTTGTTTGACTCCACAGTCCCAGCTCAAGGTGGAGTGATGCCTCCACTCACCAAAGTATTGATTCCACTGATGGCTTCACTCTTTCCACTCTCCCCACTGTACCCTTGCCCCTGGATTGGGGAAAAGGGAACTGGGACTCAGGCCACCTATCAACCTGCACCTGCCCCACCTATTTCCACATTGGTCAAACTCGGTGTGCTCCTCTCTGTAAGCCCTTCTCTTTTTCTTTAAATAACACCCGAAAATCCCACCTCCAGAAAGCTTTCCTACAATGATTTGCTGCTGCCTTATGCCCCTACCCAGTCCCTTGAATCGTGTTCTTGCCTCTTCTTATTTCCTGCCCAAAAGCACCACTAGTAATGAGAGTAGCTAATGTCTTAGTTCTACTATGCACCAAGCACCATGCTTTATCCCTGGACATTCCTGTGTGGGAGATATCTGGCAGATACGTTCTACAGATGAGAAAATTAAAACAGCTGGCCTCAGGAGCTGTCTGCACGCCTGACTCCAGTCTCTGGACTTGTTACTGCTTTGGTCTGTTAGGATGCAGAAAGCTCTGCAGTAAGTGTGGGAGGTGAGCAGGTTACATGTCACTATCTCCGAATTACCCAAGAGGAAGCTCAGGCTCAGAGAGGTTAACTGGCTTGCCTGAAAACACACAGATAACAAATGACAGAGCTGGAGTTTGAGCCCCATCTGCAGACTCAAAGTTCAGTGCCTTTCCGCTTTTCAACACTACTTTCTTAAGTATGGTTTTTTAAAAATACCCCTTGACCATTGTTCTGTTGGTTTTGTCTGCTTTTCCTCTCACAGAAGTGATACAAATGCGTGATTGAAGAGTATGGATGGGGATCTCAGCACCCCCATTCTTGTCTCCTAATGAGGGTGACATTGGTTCAGAGCAGCTTGCAAGAAAAAACAAGATCTTTCTTTCCCCAGGCCCCTGGCATTATGTCCCCTCATTCCACCACTCCTTCTTCTAAAGCCAACCCACCTGCTCCTAGGCTCACCTGGTAGTTGCCTTGGGGGCTCCCAAGGAGGTGACTGCCCTCTTGGCTTACTTCCTTTGGAGACAGGAAATGGAGAAGAATCGTGAGGAGGGTAGGTTAAGGGGTAAGAGGGCAAGATAGTAGGGTTTAGGTGAAGGATTTCTGAATCAAGGGATTGAGGCATGAGTATGACAGAGGACTTCCCAGGACCCTAAGAAAGAGGCTCCTCCATTTGGATAGCTCAGCTCCATCTTCCAGGCAAATCTCACTGCAACCTTCTGGGGCTGGGGTTACTGCTCACTAATGAAGTGTATGGATCACATCACTCTCTTGGTTGATACTCATTTCTGCAAGCGGTCCAAACTCCAGAAGGAAAGGCCCTTGCCACCAGTGCATCTAAATTCTTCTCTCATTTGTGGGCAGGAGTGAGCCAGGCTGTTGTACTGAATCAACTCAAATTCAGTTCTGGTAGCGTTGTGCTGATGCTTTGCATTGGGCAGAAAGGTGGTACCACCTAGGGAGCTGAGGTAGACTGGCTAGCCTCCTCCTACGTCAGAGGGAGCCTCCTCTCCAGTCTCGCTTACAACATTTGGTGTGAAACATAGTGAGGCCCAGACCCACCCACACCTCTTCATTCCCAGAGTTAACCTGTAGATCAGGCGAAGATACAGGATCATCTGCTCCCTGGTCCCCCTGTATTAGTATTACTATAGGAAAGTTGACCCCCGCCAACAAGCTACACTTGAAGCCTGCCACCTCCTTACCCTGAAGCCGGAGTTGCTGGGGCCTCCCTGCCCTCTGAATCCCTGAAGGACAAGACAGACACAGAGCATCATTTTAGATCCTGGGGCCATCCCTGAATTAATGCACTGAATGAACACAATTCCTCTAAAGTTCTTAATGCAATTCTCTTTTGAAACTTGTCAAAATAACCTTAAAAAATCATTTGGAAGCATAAATGTCTAAGACTAAGTAAGGAAACTGGAAAGGCAGGGCAGGCCTTGTACTAGCAGGAGTTACCATACTGTAAACCAAAAACCTGCTACCGTCATGTCAGTTCCAACTCATAGCAACCCTAATAGGACAGAATAGAACCGCCCCGTGGAGTTTCTAAAGCTGTTTCTAAGGAAGCACACTGCCCCCTCTCTCCCACGGAGCAGCTGGTGGCTTCAAACCACTGCTCTTTTGATTAGCAGCCTAGCGCTTTCACCACAGCGCCACCAGGGCTCCACCCACGTACCATAAAGCTACCCTAAATAAAGCCGTGCAACAGCCTCCCGGAATAGAAGACTCTATTTATAAACAAAAGAGAATTCTCAGAAGCTCCCCCGAAATATTTAGGCATTTACAAGTGGCATTTTAAAATCAGTAATGGAAGTGATTCAACATGGGGCTGGGGATATTAGTTAAGTAGTTGGGGGAAAATTAGCTAAACGTTATCCGTTTCCTCCCTTCTGTTTTTATGTGATTTTCCCCTCACGAGGGAGCACATAGCTCTGATTCAAAGTGGAGGGGCAGTCTGGTGGAACTGAGTGAAGTGGAACTGTTGATGTTGTTGTTGTTGTGTGCCGTCGAGTCAGCCCTGACAAGAGCTGTGAAGAGGTATACCGGAGCAGGGACCAGAGAAAGTGGATTATGTACCACCTGCAAATTTCAGACTTTGGCATATCAAAAACTACAAATACAGACACAAACTGGGAGAAATTTTCTTAAAACCTATTTCAAGGCAGTATCTCTAAGGAAATAAATTGCCCAATCTTCCTTCTGAAGAGTGCCTGGTGGGTTTGAACTGCCAGCCTTCTGGTTGGCAGTCAAGTGCCTTAGGCACTATGCCACCAGAGCTCCTTCATAAAAGGTGAGGATCATTAATATACAAAAAGCTCTTCAGAAAACCTTCCCAGCTTGGCCCCTCACCTCACTGCTGTCTCCTCCCCGTGTGGCCTTGCTGCTGTGACCAATGAATGGACTAGCAGTGTCCAGCTTATTGCAAACACAGACTCTTGGCCCCTCCTCATACCTGCAGTATCAGAACCTGCATTTCCACAAGACTTTCAGTTGATTCATGTGCGCCTTACTATAACACTCTGGCTGTGCCACAGGTGCTGGCAGACAGCAAGCCCAGATTTCCAGAATAACTAGAGAGGAAGTGTACACTTTCCAAAACACTTCTCTCTGTCAAAGCCTTCATCTTCCAATTCTGTTCACTGGCTACATATAGAACATTTGAAACAACTACATTTCTAAAAGGGCTGGTTTACACATGATTTCTCATAGCTCTATCTATGGTGTAAAGTGGGTATATCACGCAAGGATTTGCAATTCATTATGACTTTGGAACTTCTTAGTATTTTTAGGAGTACTTTCTTCAAATTGTAAGTTCCCCACAGATGGGGCTGAGAAGGAGGTTAGCATTAAGAACCCGGCTGATGGCTACCACTGTCAACCACTCAGGGGCAGATCTATGTAGGAGACCCTGGATAGAGAGGGAGAACAATGTGGAACAAAACTCAAAATCATTTGGGGAGAAAAAGGGGGACCAGGTTTGCTGGTCTGATAGAGCCTGGTGGAACCACGGAGACTATGGCCCCT